ACTTTCTAAATACAGTTAATAGCATTACAAAAACTCCATTACTTTTCATGTTTCAGCTCTACCTGCAAACAGTAGACAATGAGAAATCCATTATTCTTTTAATTCAGTTTCCTTTTACTGCAAACCACCCTAAATGTTTGGCTTGAGCAAAAGTGAATGAGTCATCTTTACTTTATAGAATGTACAGTGGAAGAAAATCGTACGTGACAAAATTGCAGAAGTTAAAGCTTTACAGTATTATCAACATGAAATTGCAGCCAGTGTCTAACAAATAATCCAAACTATGTGGCCTTTGGTTCAAAATGTGTCAATATACGGTCAGATACACAATTTGACAACAAAATAGAGGCACAGATGGGAAAGAAGCAAAAATGCAAAGTCCTGTTCAATTCAATTCAATTCAATTTTATTTGTATAGCGCCAATTCATAACAGAAGTTATCTCAGGACACTTTTCAAAATAGAGCAGGTCTAGACCGAACTCTTTAACATTAATTACAGAGACCCAACAGTACCACCATGAGCAAGCACTTGGCGACAAGGGCAAGGAAAAACTGCCTGTTAAAAGGCAGAAACCTAGGACAGATCCTCCGGCTCTAGGTGGGTGGTCGTCTGTCTCGACCAGTTGGGGTGAGAGAGAGAGAGAGAGAGAGAGAGAGAGGAGAGAGAAGGAGAGGCAGAGAGAGAGAGAGAGAGAGACAGACAGACAGACAGGTGCACAGCAACAACAGTATTGGCAATGGCAGTCAAGCAGGACCATGGCAGGAGGCTCCACCAGGATCCATGAGAACCTGCGAGACGAGAAAGCACAAGAACTCCGGGGAAGAAGTGGAGTTAGTAACATGCATTAATGGGACATGAATGAGTGCAGAAAGAGAGAGGAAGAGAGGAGCTCAGTGCACCATGGGAAATCCCCCGATAGTCTAGGCCTATAGCAGCATAACTAAGGGATGGTTCAGGACTCACCTGATCCAGCCCTAACTATAAGCTTTATCAAAGAGGAATGTCTTAAGCCTACTCTTGAATGTGGTGAGGGTGTCTGCCTCCCGAACCACAACTGGAAGCTGGTTCCACAGGAGAGGAGCTTGGTAACTGAAGGCTCTGGCTCCTGTTCTACTTTTAGAGACTATAGGAACCACAAGTAGCCCTGCATTCAGAGAACGTAATGTTCTAGTGGGGTAATAGGGTACTATGAGCTCTTTAAGATATGAAGGGGCCTGACCATGAAGAGATTTATAGGTGAGGAGGAGGATTTTAAGTTCTATTCTACATTTTACAGGGAGCCAATGCAGAGAAGCTAGTACAGGAGAGATGTGATCTCTTTTTCTAGTTCCTGTCAGTACTCGTGCTGCAGCGTTCTGAATTAATTGGAGCGTTTTAATGGACTTATTGGGGCAACCTGATAATAGAGAGTTGCAGTAATCCAGCCTTGAAGTAACAAATGCCTGGATTAGTTTTTCTGCATCTGTCTGTGATAGTATGTGTCTAATTTTTCTAATATTACGTAAATGAAAGAAGGCAGTCCTAGAGGTCTGCTTTATGTGGGAGTTAAATGACAAATCCTGATCAAAGATAACTCCAAGATTCTTGACAGTGGTGCTAGAGGCCAAGGTAATGCCATCTAGAGTGACTATATCTTTAGACAATGAGTCTCTAAGGTTTTTGGGGCCAAGAACAAGAATTTCTTTTTTTTTTAGTTTAACATCAGAAAATTGCAGGTCATCCAGGATTTTATGTCCGTAAGACATGTTTGTAATTTAGATAATTGATTAATTTCATTGGGTTTGATTGATAGATATAACTGCGTATCATCTGCATTACAGTGAAAGTTAATGGAGTGATTCCTAATAATGTTGCCTAAAGGGAGCATATATAAAGTAAATAGTATTGGTCCAAGTACAGAACCTTGTGGAACTCCATGACTAACTTTAGTATTTATGGAGGATTCATCGTTAACATGTACAAACTGAGAACGATCTGATAAGTATGACTTAAACCAGCTTAGGGCAGTTCCTTTAATGCCAATTTGATGCTCAAGTCTCTGTAAAAGAATATCATGGTCAATGGTGTCAAATGCAGCACTAAGATCTAATAATACAAGTACAGAGACAAGTCCATTGTCAGAAGCAGTCAGAAGGTCATTATTAACTTTAACCAGAGCTGTCTCTGTGCTATGATGAACTCTAAATCTTGACTGAAAATCCTCAAATAAACTATTGTTATGTAGAAAGTCACACAACTCTTTGGCGACTACTTTCTCCAGAATCTTAGAGAGGAAGGGGAGGTTAGAAATCAGTCTATAGTTGGCTAAAACCCCTGGGTCAAGAGTGGACTTTTTAAGAAGGGGTTTAATTACAGCTACTTTAAAGGACTGTGGAACATATCCTGATAATAAAGAAAGATTAATCATATCCAGTAAAGAAGTGCCAATTAAGGGAACAACTTCTTTAAGCAGCCTAGTTGGGATCGGGTCTAATAGACAGGTTGATGGCTTCAATGAAGAAATGATTGAAGTTAACTGATGAAGATCGATAGCAGAAAAACAGTCTAAATATATATCTAAGTTTACATTGACAGAAGTCCCTGAACTTGGAGAGCCACTGATAACTGTTGATGGCAGTTGGTGATAAATTTTTTCTCTAATAGTAATAATTTTATTATAGAAGAAGCTCATGAAGTCATTGCTACTTAAGTTTATGGGGATATGTGGCTCAATAGAGCTGTGGCTCTCTGTCAGCCTGGCTACAGTGCTGAAGAGGAACCTAGGGTTATTCTTATTTTCTTCTATTAGTGCTGAGTAATAGGCTCCTCTGGCATTACGGAGGGCCTTTCTATAAATTTTAAGATTATCTTGCCAAATTGAGCGATATTCTGATAATTTGGAAGAGCGCCATTTCCTTTCAGATTTCCTAGCTATTTGTTTTAACTGGCGGGTTTGGTGGTTGTACCACGGTGCTAGTCTCCTATGTTTTAATAATTTCCTTTTTATAGGAGCGATAGAGTCTAATGTTGATCGTAGTGAGCCTGTAGCACTATCGACAAGATTATCAATTTGGGAGGGACTAAAGTTGTTATAGGACTCTGTTAAATTCAGACATGGCACTGAATTAAACACTGAAGGAATCTCCTCCTTAAATTTAGCTACAGCACTGTCAGATAGACATCTGCTGTAGGAAGTTTTGCCTAATGGCTTATAATCTAATAGTATGAATTCAAAAGTTATTAAATAATGGTCAGATAGGAAAGGATAATGTGGGAAGACTATTAAATGTTCAATATCAATGCCATATGATAAAACAAGGTCAAGAATGTGATTAAAACAATGAGTTGGTTTATTTACACTCTGACAGAAGCCAATTGAGTCTATTAATGATATAAATGCGTTACTAAGGCTGTCATTGTCAACATCCACATGAATATTAAAATCACCTACAATAATTACTTTATCTCATTTAAGGACTAAACTTGATAAAAACTCTGAAAATTCAGATATAAAATCAGAGTACGGTCCAGGAGCACGGTACACTATAACAAATAGAACTGGCTGCAGTGTTTTCCAGTTTGGGTGAGAAAGACTAAGAACAAGGCTTTCAAATGAATTATAATTTAGTTTAGGTTTAGGGTCCATTAAAACGCTTGAATCATATATGGCTGCCACTCCACCTCCTCGGCCAGTGCCTCGAGGAATGTGAGTATTAATATGACTGGGGGGGGGTGGATTCATTTAGGCTAACATACTCCTCGTGGGACAACCAGGTCTCAGTAAGACAAAGTAAATCAATATCATAATCTGATATTAATTCGTTCACTAAAACAGCTTTAGAGGACAGAGACCTGATATTTAACAGCCCACATTTAATTTTCTTATTTTGTGCTACTGAGGAGTTAGTTTTAATTTTTATTAGATTTTTATGTTGAACTCCTCTTGTTTTTATTTCTTTAAATAATTTAGGTGGTCGGGGGACAGACACAGTCTCTATGGGGTTTTGGGTGGGTGACTGTTCTAAAGAAAGAGCAGAGAAGTGTGTAAGACAGCAGCTCTGCTTCCTGGTCCCAACTCTGGACTGTCAGGTTTTAGAGATAAACTTCGCCATATTTCTAGATAAGAGAGCCGCTCCATCCAAAGTGGGATGGATGCCGTCTCTCCTAATCAGACCAGGTTTTCCCCAAAAAGGCTTCCAGTTATCAATGAAGCCCACATCGTTTTCTGGACACCACCTCGACAGCCAGCGGTGGAATGACGACATGTGGCTATACATGTCATCACTGGTCACATTGGGCAGGGGTCCAGAGAAAACTACGGAGTCCGACATTGTCTTAGCATAATTACACACCGACTCCACATTAATCTTAGTGACCTCCGATTGGCGTAAACGGGTGTCATTACCGCCCACGTGGATAACAATTCTGTTCTAATCCATACGATCTTCAGCATTTGCCCACATGTTCTCATCCACATAATGCTTGGCATGCCTTATCCTCCCCCTCATCTCTGCCATCATCCATTCCTCACTCTCCACTGGAATTGTTCCTACACTCTTCAAAACTTCTGCCAATCCACAACTTTGCCCTCCTTATCTATCCCAACTCCTCCACATCGACACCCCTTCCTGTTACCCTCAGATCTGTCTCCTCTGTCAACCTCTCTCCCTCCCGCCCGCCTCGTCACCATGGGGAGCAGGGTTTTCAGCCGCTCTGCCCCCCGACTCTGGAACTGACTCCCACCGGACATCAGGAACCTGGACTCTCTCCCCCTCTTCAAATCAAGACTAAAAACTCACCTATTCAGAACTTCATACCCACTTAACCATCTACATTGTCTTTTTTATCTATTTCTTATTTCTTACTGTTTTTATTCTTATGTGTTGTACGGTGTCCTCGAGTGCCCAGAGAGGCGTCTTTAAATAAAATGTATTATTATTATTATCATTATTATCATTATTATTATTATTATTATTAGTATTATTATTATTATATTTAATAATCAAACTGAGACACATATTTGATTTTATTGGGGAATTATTTAATAATTCAGATTATTTTTGACTTTCCGACAGACATTTAACATCTTACCCTCAGACTGCAAAAACTACATTAGCTGATCACATGGTGGCACTATAACAACATCAGGTTGATCATTTATGAAACTTATGTTTAAGGAAGACGTATTAATTTTTACCTGCAGCATTGGGATAAATATACATCTTTCAATGTCTGCCTCCACACAGTCATCAAATGATGTCCCATATCTTCACACATACTGTTAAAGTTCAGACTGAGGCATAATTCAGTTGAAGATTGTTATGATTAATGAAACTGTACAGAGTTTGTGGCTAACTCACCAAAATATCACCAATATTATAACCTGTGGTCAGCCATTCTACCATTTCTGATTTTTTGGACTTTGGAGCCAACTGGCTGTAGCTTGAAGAACTTTGATTGATTGATTGTTTGATTTACTCCTGCATGTTGCTGTTCTCAGTCACTCAATGTGTGTTTACTTTGTCAGTTGGAAGGAAGTGGTTGTTGCTGTTGTCCGTCTACAGGTATCTGCTGCTAACCACATCTGGTGTTGACACAGTTGAAGACCTGTTCCAGTTTGGACTGTATCATTTTCAGTCTGACACTGGGGGTGATAATAGTGGGCACAGGGTATTGAGACAGAATCCTCTGGACCTCATTTGTGTCCATTCTGTTTTCACAGTGGTCTCCGAAGTATCCATCCTCACAATCACACAGACTAAGGTTGGAATCCGCCAGCCTTGTGCACCGTCCACCGTTCTGACATTGGGGATTATTGCAGACAGGTATGGACCTGGAGGAATGTACAGATAGCTCATATGACCACCCACACAATGTTTTTCCAAGAGGTGCTGGGAGCTCAACAAAATCTGTATAACTGGTAGAATGTGAATATGCCACTTTAGCAAACTTTGTAAAAGGATAAGTCAATATTTCATCACCCAAACCAGTAGAAATGTCTATATCGTCTTTAATCTTGCATTGATCTATTGTGGTCTTGGCGTCACAATTTGTAAAGCATCTTCTGGCTGCATTCATAATTTCGTCTTTCCACACCACATCCGCTTTCTGTATGTTGCCAACAGCAACAGTGACCTTGCCCACGTGGACCTTAGTCAGACTGTTTAGTGTGTAATATCCATCATCGGCTGTGTTGTACACCAGCACTACCCAGTTGTACCAGTCGTACTTGTTATCCAGCTCCTGTTTCACCTTTACAGCAATGTCATTTTTGTTGTCAGGACTGATTGCTGTGCTTTTCTCCTGTGCAACTGTCTTCACGTAGTCCTCATAGTTGACTATGCAGAACTCAAAAGCAGATTTCTGAGCTTGGTAGACCTTCTTGAACATCTCGGCGTGTTTGGCTTCTGTGTATGGTGGGTTCAGACCAATCATTTTCCAGTAGATCTTGTTTAGCACGATTCCCCTTAACAGCAGGGTGTTGAAATAGAAGTTATATTTGCCGATCTGGCGAATGTCACATTTAAACTTCTTCCTCAGCAGCTGGTTCAGGTTTGCGCTGAGAGACGTGCTGCTGACTGTCAGGTAATGGTACAAGTTGGCCACACTGGCCTCAGTTCCTGTGTACTCATAGTAGTTGATGAATATTTCTGCCTGTCGCTGTTTTTCCTCCTGAGTTTGTGCCGACATACTGTTGTCACGTAACTCATTTAACTTCCTCCAGGCGCTGAGGATGCGGAGCTCATCCTGAGAGTAGACGCTGGCGTAGTTGAACCACTCCACATCTGTGGCCAGGTTGGAGACCTGGAGGGAGAGAGAGTCCAACTTCCTGTTCACCTCAGCAAACCCTTCATTCACTGCGCTCAGCACCGGGTCATGCTGAGGAATGAAGATTAAGACCATGTTGACCACAGAGAAGATCACACCAACGGCGCCAGGAGCCACACTAGCAAATTTGGAGAGCTTCTTCAGGACATCAACCACTTCCGAAAGGTCTTTGACCAGAGACAGAGCATCGGTTATGGCCTGGAAGGTCTCTTTAACCTTTTCTCTGTTCTCAAAGGGCTGGTCCCTCTTCACCCTGTAGGCTGGTGAAAGGTCAGAAGAGGGGAGGTCATGTGACTGAGCTAAGGAGGTTGTCCAGTAGAGAATAAGGGTCAGAGAAGCCAACAGCGACAATAGCCGTGTTACCTCCATAACTGCAAAACAGACAAAGTTCAGCACATGAGATCATTTCCTACATTCAAGAGCCCAAAATAAGATCAACAATCTCAAAACTTTGATGGTGTAATTCAGTGCTGCATATTTCCCGTAAATGTGTTCGCTATGGTTCTGTGGGTAAGACCAACTGTAAAGTGACCAATAGAGGGCAAGAGGGCAATTTACTCTTTAAATAATAATAGTGATAATAATCAGCCATTCTTGAGATATGGGAACAAGAAGTCCTACCGAATAAGCTTGATTGATTAATAAGTAACACATTAATTCCATGTTTTAAGTTACATTTCTTTACATTTCCTGTTCCTGTTTTGGTCTGTTTTTTATTTTTCTAACCTCAAACGTTGCCCTGTGACAGAAAATACGCTTCAAATTATTCATCAATTAATGAATGAATGAATGAATACATTTTAAAATGTACTCGTATAATGTTGGACCTTTAAAGTTGTGCCCTAGATTATTGTCAAATCTTTCAGAATGTAATGAGGCACTAAACAGGGCTAGTTACGCCCTAACAACCAAAGCTGTTTATTTTTTGATCCGTTCTTTAAATAATGTTGCTTTCAGGGTCAACTCTGTTGTCCCTTAAAACTAAATAAGAATTATTGTTATTGTTAGTTATTGTGTTTTGACTAGCATGAGGATAACTATTTGTAAAATTAAATGGCCACTCACTACGACTATGCTGTGAAATGAAAACAATGAACACTTTGTCAACTCGGCCTAAATCTCTTTAATTATTGAATAACGTGTTTGAAATAAGTACTTTATTTTCATTGAAGTTATTCAAATACCATTACTTCATTGGTCCAGTGTTTAATGGATGCATATCAATAACGAAGATGGTTATTTACTTCAAAATGTTTTATGTGGCCATAAGCTGTCATTGGAGGAGAAACAGTGTGTCAGAGAATAAACAATGTGCTGACAGAAAGGCAGAAGAACTACAAAGGGAGAGATGGAGAAAGAGTGCTCCATACTAACGGCAGATACAGTTAGCAGCAGTTAATTAGCAGTTAGCTAATTTATCTAAAGCTATCTGTCCATCAGAGAGTTGAAGCTGAGCAGCTGGAGGATGTCAGAGGGAAAACCAGGAAATATTTTCCCCATAAAATCTGGTCCAGGTTCACCAAAATCACTGAATGCAGTTAGAAAAATTCCGCTAGTGTAAAGCTAATGTTGCTATACAGTAGTGCTAGCTAGCTAATGTAGTTATAAAGTAGGTCTTTGTACAGCACTCAGTGAGGCCATAGATTGTCTGTAACGGCAGGATGAGTCATCAAATACTTTTATTGATTATCATGAAACTCTAAAATACCTTTAAGAACACCTGAAGATACCTGAACCAGGACTTCCTGTCCCTGTTGGACAGATACTAGAGGACAGGACGTTGAAGCGGCTCTTCCTCAGTCTCCTCAGACCCCAGGTACAACACACCCATGACCGCCTGCAGTTTGCGTACCAGCCAGATGAGTCCACTCCCATCTGGATAAGGGAAGCGGCACAGTGAGGATTCTCTTGTTGGACTTCTCCAGTTCCTTTAATACCATCCAGCCCCCTCTGCTTCAGGACAAACTGAACAGGATGGGAGTGGACTCCTATCTGGTCGACTGGATCAAAGATTACCTCACTGACAGGCCACAGTACGTCAGGCTGAAGGACATCACGTCTGACACTGTGGTCAGCAGCACTGGAGCCCCCCAGGGCACAGTGCTGGCCCCTCTTCTCTTCACCCTGTACACCTCGGACTTTTGTTACAACTCGGAGCTGTGTCACATACAGAAGTACGCTGATGACACAGCCATCGTTGGCTGTATCAGGGGTGACAGAGAGGAGGAGTATCGGAGACTGGTGGGGGACTTTGCTCTCTGGTGTCACACTAACTGCCTACAGCTCAACACCTCTAAGACGAAGGAGCTGGTCATTGACATTGGGAGGTCCAAACCAAGACTACGACCAGTCCTGCTAGAGGGAGCTGAGGTGGAGGCTGTATCATCATACAAATACCTCGGGCTGTGGCTGGATAATAAACTGGACTGGACAACACACACCAGCCACCTGTACAGGAAGACACAAAGCAGGTTGTACTTCCTTAGGAGATTGCGATCCTTCAACATCTGCAGCAAACTGCTGTTGATGTTTTATCAGTCTGTGGTTACCAGCGTCCTCTTCTACACTGTGGTGTGCTGGGGGGGCAGCATATCCAAGAAGGACACCTCCAGACTGGATAAACTGATCAGGCAGGCTGGCTCTGTGGTCGGCATGAAGCTGGACTCACTGGTGACGGTGGCAGAGAGGAGGACACTGGACAAACTGCTGGACATTATTGACAATGCCAGCCACCCCCTGCACACCGTCCTCAGCAACCAGAGGAGCCTGTTCAGTGAAAGGCTGCTCCTCCCCAAGTGTAGGACCAACAGACTCAAGAACTCCTTTGTCCCTCGTGTCATCACACTCTACAACTCCTCACTTGGGGGGAGGAGGAAATAGGGTAAAGGGGACAGAAGGAAAGGAGTGGCAGCCACTCACTGTGCAATAGCTGTGCAATAACTGTGCAATAATAATCTACTCATACATACCTGGACACTCTTCTTACTTATTTTTTTCTCTTTTTTGTCCAGTAACTTGAATCACCACTTAAGTGCAATAATTTAATTTAATTTAATTTAACTGCTAATTTCTGCTTAATGTCATGTCATGTTATCCACTGTTTAACAACACAATGCCACTTATTGTCTGTATAACAACACAATGCCATATACTGTCCTATATATTTATCTTTATTTATCTATAGGTATCCTTTATACAGTTCTCTACATTTATCTTATTTGATTTCATTTTCCGTGAATTTTATATTTATATTTTATTTTTATTCTTATATCTACTTTCTGTATATAGCTAAGAGTTTATTGTTTACTGTTTATTGTCTACTTTCTATATCTAGCAAAGAGTTTATTGTTTATATTGTTTATCTTGTACTGTATTTTTTTTATGCCTCTTTATTTTTCTACGCTGTTTTGTAAGCTGCTGGAAATAAAATTTCCTTACGGGAGTCATCCCAAAAGGATCAATAAAGAGAAGTCTAAGTCTAAGTCTAAGGAGACGGACAGAGACACTGAAACACTGATTCTGACTCCATGGGGACTTTAAAGGAGATGTAACGATGCTCAAACGGTGACTGGTAGTGTACATTTGTTCACATCTGAGTGTAGTCTTGTGTACATACTTTACATTTCTCAAATAATTCCAGGTGTGACAGGTCAGTTGATATTAGATATTGAGGCCAGAAGCATCTGACATTATATCAAATTATAATGGACAGATTGATAAAATAAAAAAGAAGCATCCTTAAACCCTGTCACGCCTATTTCTATGTGAAAAGAAGTCACTTTCTGCTGAAGAAAATGTCATAATCACATTTTTAATGCCTGTTTTTATATTGTTAAACTTGAGAAATCAATGAAACGTACAGTTTGTATGGAAATGGACCAACTTCAGCTCAAGATTTTCTTTCAGGACTGTCCCTTTAGTGGACCAAACATCGGTGTCACAAGTACAGCATTACAGTACATATTTAAAATTCTCTCTTCAATGTATAAAAGATTTTTTTAGTCAGCACATTACTGTAAAGTAGGGTTGAGTAATGCTTCTGTTGTTCTTTTTTATTATTAATTATAATATATCTTGTATAATTATGGAAAATGAATGTTGTTTATCAGTGTATAAGCATTGGGAATACAGTTGTTATCAGTGAAAACAGCAATAATAACTGTAATTTCACACATAATGACTTTTATTACAGTTCTATAACTTTTAACATTCACATTAAAATAATAACAATCCAATAATAACAGCACTCTGCTGTAAATGTAAGTCTGATTATTGTATTATAGCAGAGTTCACCTGGATTTATAGATCATTGCATTGGTTTTACAGTGGAAATTTTACTTAAAATTAAAGCTATAAACTTTATTTTAATTAGTGTTTCTACAAGTCCGTTATTTATTTATTTTTTTACTCTTTTAAACATTTATTTTCTATAATAATCCCGTATCTTATATCTGTCTTTTGGATGTGTTTCTCTAATAAGTGCCATAAAATTTGAGTTATGTTATTGATTTTATATAAATTACATTTCTTTATAGACCCTCCAAGAGTAACATTTATACACAGATGTAACATTTGGTAGAAAGATGCATTATTATTAACAATATCGTGAAGAATATGTACCTGTTCTTTGCGCTGAGAGACGTAGTACCTGATCTCAGGAACTGCTGCAGGAATCAGAAGCTGTTGTGCTGAAATAAACTCTGTCAGCTTTATACAGACACAAACTGTTTACTTTGGCCAACATTACAGTGATACTTTGATCTGTTGAAAAAGCCAACGTCCTCTCGGTGGTGCCTTGGACAAAACCACTTACACAACCTTAATTTACTTTAGTCCTCTGGTGAGATATAAAACTCTAGACCACAAGTCTCAAACTGCTGGCCCAGGGGCCATTTCAGGCCCTCCATCCCCATCTTTCTGGCCCACAACACAATGTCAAAAATACAATATGATGCAACATTTTCAAGTCGTTTCATATCATCTTAAAGCTCCAGTGTGTCGCATTAATATAATTTCTATAGGTTTGTTTTCATTAGTGTTTAATAAGCTGAAAAAAAAATCATTTTGTGTTTGTTACCTTAGAATGAGCCGTTTTTATCTACAAAGGGAGCAGGTCCTCTTCTGGCAAAGTCCGCCATGTTGAACTGCCATGTTTCTACAGAAGCCCAGAACGGACAAATCACACACTGGATCTAGATGGAGGTGTTTTAGTAAATTTTGTAGCCACCTTAGTTGCTCCTACACATTCCCAATCTTTCAAATACAGATGCTAGTGGTGTTCCGTTAGTTGCAATCTCAACCTTCACCACTAGATGCCACTAATCTCTCTCTTCTTTTTCTCCATGTAGGTTTGTAGTGACAAAGTGCTGCATGTTATTAAAGTTTGAAGTACTAGTGCAGTGCACGTAGGAAGTATGTATTGCTACAGAAAAGTGGGAGGTTAAGTAGCTTTTTCATGGATGGCCAAATGAGGTTGTGTTTGAAGGTGTAGCAGCAAGCTACAGACGAACATCCACAGATTCTGATTCCAGTTTGTTGTCCTCGCGTATCCGGATCTCCTCAGACCGGAACAGACTCGGTCCGGACTCGTTCAGTGTCAGTAATCCACAACAGTCAGTTTAGATGCACAGAACGGGACCGAACAGCCGGCAAAATCCTCTGCAGGTATAAAGCTGCTTGCGCCGCTGCAGGTATAGATAGTTTATTAAGGTGTGTCATGGGGGTGGGCTCTGCAGTGATTGGCTCTGGTGCGCACGTGGCTATGGTAGCGACATTGCACACCCTTAAACCACACAGCAGCCATGTTGAAACTCAGGTCAGTCTGAACCTGATCTGCAGAGATATTTGAGCCACACACACACACACACACACACACACACACACACACACACACACAGACAGACAGAGATTTCTTGCTTTTATAGAGAGATTATAGATTATTGGGTGTTTTATTAAAATTAGTTGTAGTTAAATTATCTTCATATAAGGAATGTTTACTGAACCTTCAACAGATATATATATATATATATATATATATAAACACAACATTTTCTTTAGCAACAAAGAACCCCAAAGGGTCATTTGAATCAGTGGTTCTAAAAACCTTTATCCTGTATAAAGAGGTTCAATACTGCACAGCCTTGTAAATGAAAAATAGTTAAATGATTTTGCGTATTTGTTGCATTGTTTGATGACAAACATGAAGATGTGAAGGATCTTAGTGGTTCACTTCGTGAGCAACTGCCATGATCAGACTGTCGGGTGTTACTCCAGTTTATGGCTGTTGATGATTGCACTGAAAAAAGTGAATACTGAATAAAAAATATGGTTCATCCAACTGACATTTACATTTTATTTGAACTTGTTGTAGTATAATTATTTTTGGAATTTTGCATTAACATTGAAAAAGAAAATCTTAAGCATCCTCTGCAGTACTCCAAAGGACCCCTAGGGGTACACATCGCCCCCTTTCAGAAATATGGTTTTTGATGAACGTTGTGAAATGGTTTAATACAGTTCACCTTTTGAGGGTGTCAAATGCTATAGAACCTTTAATTGTTCTATATTTTTTGAGTGTAGGGTAAATGGAAATCAAAAATCAGAGTTATGAAATGTATGAGGGAGATGTTGCCTGCAGTTTCATTTCGTATGGACAGCAATGAGAAACTGCATCAACAGTTACAAATACAGAGGTGTCGATGAATCATTCTCAAAAAACTCTAATGAAATCATTTGATGAGATATGGTGGCTGAGTAGAAGCCCAAACAATATTAGTAGCTGATATAGGAACAATGAAACTGTAATACAGTTAGATGGGACGAAGGATGGATCAGAGAACAAACCTCTCAATGTACCAAACATCTCCACAGACCACCATACATCTTATATATGGATTTGACAGTTAAAGGGGACATATTATGCAAAACCAACTTTTTAATCATTTGATTATGTACATTTGGGACTCTGGAGGCCTATCAGCAGCAAAGTGTGAAAAAAAATGACTCAGTCATGTTTTTGTGGGCTGCCTCAGTCAGAATATAGGAGACAAATCACACAGGTTCAAAAGTGTGTAGTTTGTGATGTCACATGCTCTGCCTGTTGCCACCCACCTCTCTTTACTTCCTGTTGACTATCGGAGCTCCGCCATTGTTACTATAAAAGGCAAGCTAGCGGAGAACAAGCGAGTCTAATGTCTGATGTCTAATGTCTGATGTCTAATGTCTGATGTCTAATGTCTGGGCAAAGGCCTCAGCAGACAAACTGTTCAGTCATTGGCTGCACAGCCCAACACTAATTTACATATGTACATTTATGTAAGTTTATGTAAATTATTTTTTACGGCAATGTCCGACTAGAGTCAGAAAAACCAGAATGTGTGTGAACCTTCGTGTCGGACTGTTTTCACAACCTCGGTCAGTACAACAGTGGACTGACTGAAAGACTGTTCCTGAAAGAGGGATTGTACCAACTGTCTGTGGAGAGACGGCAGAGGAAGTGTATTATATTACACTGTATATAGAGGGTATGCGTTTACGTCACTTCCGGCCCTCGACACGCCCCTCATTCGAACTGGTGGCAAAAGAAATCGCCACAATATGTCAAAGGATAGCGAAACTAAATAAAATGGATCATAAAAACAAATTAACGGCAGTTGGACTGCAAATGATCCATTCGAGCTCCCCAAAACCATCTGGTCCACGGACATTGATATGTGGCCAGATATCGGATATCCGGACATTTATATGTACCTGATTTGTAGCCAGGTAAATATACGGCAAAGCCTAAAGGCATACAAAAGCCTTGATGCTTGGTCATACTTCAAGGCGGGATTTGTCGGCGAAATTAAAGTGATGAGAACATCGATGGATATTCTGGTGGTCTGTGGACAGGTTTGTATACAAGTTATATATATTTATGTTTTTATAAACTGAGTTAGCTACTGTCAGGCATTATTTGTCAGTCCCTCCAGAAAAACACGAATAAACGCTTGCATGATTTTATAATCCCCGCATTTTCGTTGCAAAAAAGTCACATATATCTATATATCTTAGTAGAAAGTTGAAAAATGTTGCATTTACTTCACAGAAGAGCAACCATTTTCCCGTTGCCATGGGAACGTTATGAAATGACGTAATTATACGACGTGAACGTCACTGGAAAGCTGCAAACCCTGCGATTGCACTTTTTGTTTCCAGTGGGTTAAATCATACTAGTTTCAAAAACCTTACAGTTGTAAATATTAGCAGTGTGTACATTTGCGTTACAGTAAGAGACTGCACTTGTGCATTGGAAGCACTTATTTTAACAGAAGATGTCTACCTCTGCAAAACAGGAAGCACATTTTATTTTTTTATATTGTATTTATCCATTTTTACAGTTGTCAAGTTGTAGCATATTCCTTTTGTAAAGCTACAGACCTTGTTTGACTCATCAATGTTTTGTAAGTCTGAAATAAAACCAGATGAGAACTTATGTTTGCTTATCATAGGAAGTAATAAAAAATTACTCTTTACATTAAGGTTGTAGCCTAGTGAGAACAGGGTGTTGGGGGAATCACTTTTTATTCTCTTTTACATCAAACCGCAGTTTTGCAGCAGTTCCCACAATTTTATCGCATAAAATTATCCTGCTTATATTAAAAAACATGCTGCATAATTAAGGATTTTTCCTGCAACAACCACAAAAAAATCTGTATTTTCTGGAAGGACTGATTTGTTTGTAACTGACACTGCCACTCGCTAATTGTACAGGTGAAACACAGCCAGAGAATGAATGAGCCACCCTTGAAAACTTGGATAGCTGCAGAAAGACAGGGACAGTTGTGACAGCACATTGTACATGCATGGCAGGACTTGGAGAGACATGTTCACATGCAGCAGCGTTGATGTTTGCAGTAATGTCTGGTGTGAGGCTGCGTGATGACACGCCGTGTACTTCACTGCCATGTCAGTGGCTTCAGCCAACACAAAAAAAAAAGCCTGCTCGAACGTCCTCTATAGATATGACATGTCCCAGAATGCAGAGTAGAAAGGTTTTAGGTCAAGTTGACATGAGTGTGGTCAATGAAACTACATCAAGGAGTCAGGGCCCTGTGATGCTACGTCCAAACCTACAGGAGATGAAGTTGCAGGCTTTCTGAATAAGCTGAAGTATGCAAACCCAAGAGCTGCTGTGCTCTCTGTAGCTCCAAACCACTCCAAAGATTTTGTCCCAATGGCTCTGAGAGATGGCTATCCTACACCACTGGGACAACTTTATGATGCTGAGAATGCTTCTTTGACATACAATGAACTTATTGAAAAATGTGACAAGGTGTTTGAAGAATTGAAAATGACAGATGAGCAATGTAAGCTTGTTGAACAGGAGACAAAGAGACAGGCTTCATCAAGGATGTGGTATACCTACAGATGTGGCAGAGTAACAGCTTCCAAGTTTGGTGCAGTTATCAAAAGCAATGAAAATCAGCCCCAAAATCACTTGTGAAAGCTGTATGCTACCCAGAATCAGCAAAGTTTACCACTGCAGCAACAAGGTATTATTTATTGCTTTAACAACATAGTAAATTTATGAAATTTCAAAGTTGTTCTCTTCTCAGAAGGATAGAACTAGTGAATGATAAAATCTCTTACAAAACCTGATGAAAAGTAATTGTGGACATGGTATATGTATGCCCTAATTTAAAGTAACATGTTTTCCTCAAATATTTTCAGGTGGGGCA